TCACCCAAAATACCCTTCGGCCTTTAGTAGCTTCAATGGCGTCAACCTTGTTAAACTTGACGTGTATCAATAAGCTGAGATAATTATAATTACAATACAACGATTCAGTCTAAAAATCCATTTTTCGTATAGTACACTGGATTTATTCAAAAAAAAGGCAATTTACTCGTTTCTTTTGTTCTTTCATAAAGCCGTCAGTATTGTTTGTTTATGTAAAAATCTAAACATATATGTTTATTTATATTATAACACAGGAAGCTCCAAATCCGTTCTAAAGTTTTAAAAATCAATGTCGTTTTCCAAAAACAAATCAATCTTTTCAAACTGAGTTACATTTTAAAGCATGTCTAAATTTTTATAGATACATATTCAGCCTTTCAAGAAAACTTTCACCGTCTTCATTAAACAAGATTGAAGTCCCATTTATGAAGACGTTAATAAGGTTTTCAAGCATTGTTTATGTTAAGGACATCAAGGAAGACACTCTACTTATTCTTCCTCTCAGCAAGCAACTGTCAAATCCAATTCCTCATATCTGAAAGTATCGTTTATTCAGCTTTACAGCTACTTCAAACGTTACGATGTCTTAGTAAGGATACAACGTCACAAGGGCAGCTCACAACTTCAAGCAGACAAACTTCAAAATGGCTGCTTTACTTCTTTTCAAGTGCTTATTTCTRCTATTCACTACCAACACGTATGGCGAAAATAGAGTATGCAACGTGTCAGACAAAAACTGTTTTTTTGAACGTTATTCGCAGTTGAAACTACCAAGAATAGACCCAGTAAAGGTATAAGTACTGCAATTATGTCGCCAAGAAACTGAATGTGAAAATAGGCCTTGTGATACTATCATTTTTTTCTTATCTTCTTGTCCAGATTTATTTTTTGCGCCCTTAAAATGTATAGAAGTTTAGAAAATATTCTTCTTTTACATGGTACATAATTGAAAACCAGTGAAACCAAACACGCTGACAAAGAAAAATAAATAAGTAAGATAAGTAGTATGTTTTCAAAGAGCGAATTCTAACTTTTTCTTGGAATTCTATTCAAGGTTTCCTCAAAAAAGTTTCCACATAGACAAATAGATTATGTAAATGAAATCACACTATAAATCTAATATCTGACAGACTATTCAAAATAAACATAATTGATCATTATGTTTTTGCTTCGACAAAAATGTTGTTCAAAGACTCATTGTTACCATACTTTTCTTCAATCAGGTGAATTTAAATGAGATAATCTTGTATATTATCTTCACATTATCATTTAAAAAGTATATTGGACCTAAACATACAAATATAAATCTATTGGTCCCGCTGGGCAGCTAAGAAGTATTAGACGCTTCAATGCACGCTTAATTGCCAATTTGTCACAAAGCACTTTAAACTCGATTCTTTGCGATTTTCTTACGATATTTCCACTAAATGGACTCGTTATGGCTAAAAGAGACATAAAAATATTGAACTRGAAAYACGAATGTAGAAACTTATTCATTTTGAAATAACGCTGCYTTTTCATCATCTGTGCAGCTGGACTAGCCTACAATGACATGAAAAAGCTTTTGTTTAGGTTTTCACCACTTTAATTTGAATCTTTTTGTTTTAARATCGGATATTTCTAAGTGTATTTGGTTGCTTTAAGGGCAGTTGTGGGTTTGTATTTCCTTAAGTTTACTATCATTTAAGTTAGTATCGATTTACGAAGAAATCTATACACCATCAATTAATTAAAAATGATGCTAAAATTGTGCACAGTTAGTTTCTTGGTTTTAATTCATCATAATTAACTGTTTCCTGGCTTACGACTTACTAAATGATGGTTGAATTAAACCGGAATCAGTCATCGAAAAGTAAATGAATAAAAATGAATGGAAGGATGAAGAACGAATGGATAAATAAAAGCATGGACATATGAAGTGTGGGAATGCAGTTTGTTATTGATCTGTTTTCATTTTTTGTTCGGTGTCGCTTCTTTGACTGAATTAATTGTTTGTTTTGTCTCTATGGTCGTTAATTAATTGACTTTGTCTGTAGGTTGGTCACGTGCAGATCGTTGAGCTCGAGGCAAATAAAACCTTCATAATGAAGACACTTGCCCTACGGCCACCGATATTTGGTAAGAAAACACAGGATGCCCAAAACAATAACAGTCAGCCATGGAAACTAGATATAACAGGAAATTGGAGTGGGAGCTGGAATTTTATATAATTTTGTCTAAGTACGAAAAAGATGCCCGAATAAGAACCAAACGTATGATTTTATTTAGAAATCGAGCAGTTTCTTTCTGGTGATGAATGTGATCATATTATCAAGTTGGCAACGAAGCAAGGTTTGGAGATGTCGTCTACGATGAGAGAGAGCATTGAAATAGATGTGAAAAACCTTGGCCACAACACGAAAGAAGAGTTTAATGAATGGGATCGAAATAAGGATAAACTAGTGGACATATGGGAGGTTTGTCGATCATGATAATTAACCAAATGAAAATAATTCTCAATGTTGACAGTGAATCATCTGCAGGTTCAAAAAAGCTTGGAAGTTTTAGTGGACTTTACGACTGACTACGAGACAATCATGAGAATGTAAGGAGATAGTTACTTGATTTGATGCTTTGAATAAAAATAATCGGCTGCAAAGGAGTGACTATTAGTGTAATGACGTCCTGGGCTCATAGAACTTCATTCTCATGCAGAAAGATATATTTGACGTCTATTATTGTTTGAGATACAAAATGACTTTTCTCTTTCAGGTTCATGGACACAAACCTTGATAGGAATGGTGATGGTAAGGAATTATTGATAGCTTGAGATGTAGTTTGTTCAATATCAATTATAACAGAACAGGACTCCATTGCTATGAACGCAAATCGGCCTGTTCACCTCATACATAGTTACAGCTTGAGAGATTAAAAAATAGTAGTTTAGACAGATTCTACATAAAGCGTGGATTTCACTAGCACATAAGCATAGCATAAGCACAAGCATGAGAATCACATGCGTCAGTGAGAACGGGGCTCGACATAAGCATAAGACATTGAGAATGCACATGAGAGTATTATTTCGGTACCAGGCTATGCTTATGCCTATGCAGTCTCGTTCTCACTGAACATAAGCATGAGATAAGCACAAGAAGATCAAGCCTTGCTCGTTTTTCTTGTGCTCATGCTTATGCTTATTTTGAGYCCGTTCTCRCTGGCGCATAAATGACTCTCGTGCTTCGTGCTTGTGCCTATGCTTATRCGCTAGTGAAATCCACGCTTAATAGGGTAATTTACTAGACCTGACTTCCCATATTCCTAGTCCTAGTTAATGAGAACTAGTACGATACTACTACTATGGACATTGACAAGTGTTTGGCTATCGAGCTATAGATTCACTATTAGTTGCTACCTAATTTGTCTATTTTAAAAATGCTTGTCTATGCTCTCTGATACGTAAGTGTACGTTGTTTTCTGTGTTTTTAGGTAAACTAGATTTGGAGGAGTTTTTAATTCGTAATGCGACAGCAATGGCAGAGTTTATTCATCAAATCAAACATAATCAGCCACACACCAAAGGTCGACACAGCCAACAAACATGGCTGAAAGACGATAAGARYAACGATACTGTGATGTTGAGAATACAGGAAAGGTTAGACTAAAGATGAAATATGATAATGAATAAAGGAATGAAAGAATAAGTTTATGAATAACTAAACAATAATAAATTAATAATAACTACTGGCCTAGTAAATGAATAAATGATTTCATGAAACCACGAATGACAAAGTATGGACGGATAAAAAAATCGAACAATGAATTCACGTACGATCAAGCTGGCCTACATTAACATATATACAAGTACTGTTCCCACATTTTTTCTTTACTAACTTCATTTTTCTATAATTATAGAGTGCAAAGATTAACCAGACTCCCAATGGAACTCATCCAAGCCAGTGAATATCTACAGGTGCAGTAATCAACGTATCTTTACAACAACAGCAACAACAACAACAGCAACGACAACAATAACGACAAGAACAACAGGAAAGACAAAAACAACAGGAACGACAAAAACAACAACATGAACAACAGGAACGACAAAAAACAGGAACGACAACGACAACAACAACAACTGGAACGAGAACTGGAACGAGAACAACAGGCACGACAAAAACAGCAGCAGCAACAAAAACAGGCCGACGACAACGACAACAAAGACCACAATAACAATACAAAAAACAAAGGATAATGTAGTAAGGAATCCATTTCATTTGATTTAAGGTTGTCAACTATGGACCAAAGGGTCACTACAACTGTCATTTGGACTCTGACTTTACAACGCCAAACCTTGAATGCTGTCATTTAGTAGGAGTTGACACAAGCAACTGCCGTGTGTGTAGGTCAGCGGTTATTCATGATTATATACCTCATTACTGAGTACTAGCGAACAGTCAGTAGTATAGTAGGTTATAACGTTACTGCTTTTGATAATATGACCAGGTTATAATGTATTTTATTTAATCAATAGCTTACTGTGGGATTTTCTTACAAAATAAAAAAATCCAGGTATCTAACAGTCCTGTATTTTCTAAACGATGTCGAAGAAGGTGGAGAGACTGCTTTTCCACTTGCTGACAACAGTACATTTGATGAAATGGTAAAGTTATGTTATGATAATAATTATAGTGACGTATGGCTTTTTTTGTGTTTATATTCTATGTTATTGGGCTTCCTGTGTGCTACTCAACCCGCGTTGTTGCATGTTTTTCACTATTCGACATTTTGTTTCTGTGGTTGTACGTTTTTCTTAGCTTTAATAACTCTTTATAAATTCTCACTAACCCTTATTCATCTAGACCTGGATACGAGACGACCAAGGACTATGTAACCTCGCCAAAAACTGCCAGAGCTCCAACGTGGTTGCTAAGCCAAGTAAGGGCAAGGCAATCATGTGGTACAACCATCATGTCGATAAGACTACCCACTGGATGGGTATACTGGATCATTTTTCATTCCACGGCGGATGTGACGTCATAAAAGGCCGGAAGTGGATAGCCAACAATTGGATTGGAGTTAGTAACAATAGGGAACAAGATATATGGAACTGGATCGATTTAGCACAATCTAATGACCAAGAATCCAATGCAACAGTTTCTAGTAAAGAAAAAGACGAACTTTAGGTCATTCATAGTTAAAATATTGTGAACACCGCTGTACAGAGTTGTGATGTAATAATGAATATGGTGTAAGCAATTATACAGCGGTGCTGCCCATTAGAGCATGGCAAGAATCAGTAAAAATGATAATTTATAAATTGCAAGAGGAGTGATTTTATAAAAACACAAGTCTTTGTGATTTTTGATTGCCTGACATTTAGTTTTTTTCGGAACACTCCGTCAGGCAACTGAAAAATCTCAAAGTGCCGTACTTGTGTGAGCTTTGTCGAACAGTATTAAGGGGTCTATTAAAAAAAACACAAATAGATTGCCTGAAGTTTAGATACTCCGTATTTTTAAATATTTAATTGTTAAAATAATTAGTGCAGTTGAGTTTATGAAGCAATCGTGGTTAAATCGTAACCATCCTCCCACGGCAAAGAGAATGCAAGTAATTTCTCAAAAGCGGCACCTCTCAATGTGAACTGAATGAGCATATATCAAATTGTTTTTTTTTTTTCAACTAAAAGAAATACTCAAGTTTCAGCTTAATTAAAAAGAACGTTTCCATCCAGCTTGACATGAGACGGAAGATATCATTGAAACAAAAAGCAATTTAGACTTTGCGGGTAAAAATGTMTTTTTTTAAAACCCCTGACAAACACATGATTCATCCAATAGAACAAAAAYAAGAGAAAACGATAGAAAGAAAACTTTTGTTTTTCAAGGGATCTTAGCTGACTTCATGGAGCTTTAAAATCTAAACAAACACCGGAAATTGTTGGCAGTCAACTACTCTAATTTCATTTTCTCATCAATTTTTTTCAAACATTATGAAATTTAGTCTCCTCGCAGCCGTGTTTAGTTTCGGTCACGCGTCACGCAAGACGCGTGACCGAAACTAAACACGGCTGCGAGGAGACTATATGAAATTCAGACAAAATTCCAGAGATATTCAAGTACATTTGCAGTCAGACTTTCATATGACGTCATTTTTGACCAATCATAGCGCAGCGTGACTTTTGCATTTTTTAGATTTCCAAGCTGCTTGGAGCTCGACTAAACATCACTTATGTAGTTATATTTCATATTATTATTACAGTCAAAAGACTATGGCCGTTTCGATATCTCRATTGCTTACTGCTTTAGTAGTAGTGTGCAGTATGYTGTTTTCGTTTTGGTTGGGGAAATATCATGGTGAACAAAACAACATCCTTGAAAAAGATCAAACATCGATGAATCCTGCTAGAGCTGTCCCTGTGCTCACTAGACTTGACCCAGTCGAGGTAACAACAGTTTTTCTCTGCGTATAGTGCAGTCTTTATTTATTTGTCTTTCTGAATACCTAACCTTACAAGACCAATCCCAAATTCGCTCGGATGAACACGAAACAATGGCTTGGTCTATTATCAGAAACCACTTATTTTAGTTATTTTTTGAAAAAAAAAAAAAAAAAAATGAGGACACGAACAAAAGGAAGATATTCACTGACATCTGATGAAAATCAAACTAAAAAGGATGATAAAATAACTGCAGAATGCAGTATCAAAGACAGTAAGATATCACCTCATAGAAAAATTGTCGTATTCCACAAAGGTGATATCACCGAAGCTGAATTTCACAGAAATTCGAATCATATTTACCTAAACATGATCACAACATACTAGATCTAGGAGAAGATTATTACATTCAATGCAGGCCATCTTTTGATGATAAAACACGGTTATCGTGGCTTTCCCATGATCCCTTGYGGTCCTAGCTTTGATAATGAACATTTTGAAGACGATATTTTTTTAAATTAGTTGTACATCATACGTCAAAGCGAAGGTCAGGCGTGATTATTCAAAAAGCAATCGATTTTTTTGTTCTTAGAGACGTCCTCGAGTGAGAGGAGGTATTCCAAGTGAGAGGAAGCTTTCGCATGTGGGTGATAATCCAAACACAATCGCCAAGTTCCGAGTAAATCGTAAAATGACAAATTTTCTCATCATGGACCGACTCATTATCAGACTTTAGCCACTTTCAGATTTCCGCCTTCGTGGCAGGCGGTTTATCAACATAAAGATTGTCTAGGCATTCTCGCATCGAGCAAAGTTCTATTAAAAGCTCTACTCTCTCATAATGAATGGGAATAATTCTAAGAGCAAGGTCGGCACAATTTCTTTCGAGTTCTTTCCGTTGGTTATACTGCTTTAGATCATAACGATGTCTTTCTAACTCGACTCTTATCCACGTCTCTCATCTCTTCGCCCGTTTTTTTTTATTCTATTTTCTTGGATTTTAACTTATATATTTTGTTTGCTTTTTTTGTTTATAATTTCCATAAACTAGTATTTCAGACCGCTAGTTTTAAAGCCATTAATTATTATCTGAAATCGAGTAACGCGAAATGTTTACTTAAAGTGGTTTTAATAAAACTTTTACAGCAAAGGCACCGAATCACCCTTTTAGTAATAATTTCATCCATGACYAAAAAAAATTAAAATATCACCCATCGATGTCTCCATGGGGGTGRAACTGAATAAGTGGTTTACTTCTGACCAAAGCTTTGAGAAGGAAATTGTTGACAAAATAGAAAAACAAGCAAAAAGAGAAAATTGAACAGTYACAAMAACAGAAACAATAACWGAAAAAAKCCACTAACAGAAAATGTAAGAATAACTCCAATATGGAAGACTTATCCTATTACAGATCAATTTTGTCTTCTAAATTGAAACTTGTTTCCAAAGCTGTTCTTAAGGCTATTAAGATTCAATTAATCACTCGCCAGCATATTTGACACTTATAGAATGAGAAATTGTGATGTTTTTCAAGTGCTTAGAAATGAGGAAAGGAGAGATTAAATGATTTGATCTCTGTACACCTTTTCATTTCATAAAAGTTATTTCAACGAGTTTCCTGTTTATTTATCCATCTATTCTGTTATTATCACTTAATCTGTTACGCATAAATGGAAAAATGTGAAATAACAAGAAATGAAGAAATGGAAAAAAAAAGGGAGAAATGTTCAAGCGTGTGTTAGATAACACAACAGGAAGTAGGTGAGGAAGTTTGAGTTTCTTAAGATATCCTTGACGACTATTTCAACAAAACCATGTTATCTTATCATTTCGACAGTGGTTTGTGATGTTTCTCTATTACACACTGCAGCACCAGCAATGTCTGTATTCCTTGTCATCTCTGTCTTTAGTCAGTTTTCGCAATGAACATGAGTTTTTTGTTTGTCTATAATACATGACAGTGTCAAACCAGCTGTCCGTAAAGGCTTTCTATGTCAACTTATTATAATTTCAAATATCGCCATGTGACGTTTGTACATATATATCGATATATATAGACACTGTTATATATAGGTGTACACTTAGACTTAAAAACCGATTTACAACGGCCACTTTGGCTGCAAATTACAGCTAAAGCATGTCTCCCCAGTGGATTCGTGTAGCTGGAGTGTTAGGGACGATTCTGAGTGTTGTACTAGCAATTTGGTGGGCTAACCTACATAACTTATACCACAGTTTCTTGCAGAAAAAGGATTTTCCTCTTCTCACTAGACTCGACCCAGTTAAGGTAGGCAAAAAGGTCGACTTCCAGCCGTGAAGAAAACTAAGTATTCTGACAATTTCTCAAAGCGATGGTATAAAGATGTTTGTATGCTTGGCTAGTCTTACAGGGAAAAGAAAAAAACTATATTAAACAAACATCAGAGATCATACATTATGTAGTTACCTCTCCTATAATTTTCGGTAATAATCGTAAGATTCTTTTTTTCATTAAGTGGAAACCGAATTAAATGAATTTATCTACTGAGCAGGTTTTGTATACAAAGTGCAACTAATATACCGATATAGTTGGCTTTGTTTTCCGTATCCAAGCACAATGGTTTTATTTTAATAATATCGATGTTTCAATACTGTATTTTGATCCATTCATCAACAAACTTTAGATAACACCTTACAAAGACGTTCATGGCTTAGTTCATCTGTGTCTTACAAATTATATTGCCATAAATTCGTGAATAACTTTAAACACACAGCATGAAGAATGAAAGCGACTGAAGTGAAACCGTATTTTGTACAAAAAACAAACATCTGGAYTTGTATTTTTTGTAAAACGATTATTCAGCGACAATGAACGATCATAGAAACATAACTAGTCGTTCAGGTTGTAACGCGTTTTCCATTGAAGACCTCTCGAGGGTGTGCAATTTAACCAACGGACTTTTTCAATGAAACACCTAAGAAAATTATTCATTGAAAACGACTATTTTAAGGTATATTAAATAAGTTATTCTCATCTGACATCACGAAATACTTTAAAATATTCAAATGACTTGATATCATATTAAAYACAGTGAATACAAAATGGATTTACTGCCAGCTTTGTAAACAAGATTTTCATTAAAAGAATTAATCTAAGATACAAGTAATTAAATGAATTTCGTGTGGTCAATATCGATCAGTTATTCATTCGATTCTATTTATTGTCAGTCAAGTTAACTTCCCATTTTACAACTAGGGAGCTACAACTTAATCTTTTCAATTCCCACAATAGATTCCACCTCGAATTATTTCTGAAATAATCAAATTTAAAGAGCAKTCAGCCGATGCCATCAAGGAGTAAAAAGTACATCCCGAGTACAAGTTGTATGTTTAGTTATTAAAGTATTTGTTTTTTTTTTCCTTCCTCTTTCCTTGAGCACCAATACAGACGTAAGTGATGTAGAAAGTAGCTAGAGAGTGTTGGTCCACTAGGTTAGCAATCGGATAGAATACTGAAACACYGAATCCTTTAGAAATTTAAGAAACATTATCCAATTGATCAAAGAAGTAGCTTTTTTTTCTATTATAGGCCATCCATTTTTAATGTTCGGGCTTTAACGTTTCTACATGTAAAGATATAATCAATCGGCCAAGTGACACTTAGTGAATACAGATCCTAGAAGATCAAAGATCGGTTTATATTGATAACAAACAAAACATCACTGRGAACACACTGCACAGGATGCAAATCAAAATGACTGTTCAAAATATATTTGATTCTGTCTTTCCGGCCATCTACCAACCATTTCTCAACCTCCCATAATGCATCACTCAACTGAAACTATGGTAGGGTTATTTTTTCCACAATTTAAAAATCATAGTATTTCCCAGTCCATAAGTGACATAAAATGCGTCTAAACAGGCCACTTTCTTTGATTTCAACGTTAATTCTCCCATCTTCCCTAGGCAGTCTGAATAACGTGCGGTCTGAAAACTCTGAGGGACCCCTCCCTAGGATTGATGGAGTGTAACAACAATGTTAAATCCCCGGCTTTAATGAATTAATTTACCGGTTTCCCGGGTGCTGTGTGTCCGAGGTTTAAAKGCCCARTGTGCACCATTATGCTTTGGGCGCCGCGAGGGCCTGGAGKCGGYCATTTTCAGTTTACCGAAAGTCTATAAAYTGTACTGTGCATTTCGAATCTATAACCATCTCACTTTACTAAGCACTTTATAGATGCTAATATAAGAGTTTTCAAGCATCTGAYATTCGTTTTATAGTGATATTTGGATACTAGAAGTATTTTGGTGTAAATCATTACAATAACAGAGGCGCGCAAAGCATAATGGTGCAAACTGGGCCTTTAAATTGACTGATGCATAAAGCATTCTTACACGYATATTCATTTTTTATTTTTGCAAGCCCAACCCATTTTAGCGCTCAAACATATCATATATATAATAATTATGATATAAATAGATAAAAGAAGAAATGAAATATGAATGGCACTCATTCTGAAAGCAACTAAAACAGCGTTCATCTCAAAGAAGTTTCATTTTCGGCAGCCTATCCATTTAATTTTTTTTTTTCTTGGGTTAGCAAACGTCCATTGTGATGGTCTGCGGGATTCACCACGGTCGGTAGCAAGGGTCATCATTGCCCTCATCCGAAACATAATCCAAATAAAGATGYTTTAAATGGGAGTTCAAGATGCAATTAAAAGTAAATCCTATTTGAAAATCCATTTGTAATGCTGTCGACGCGTGTGGCATCCAATTTTACCAAAACCTAATCTAGAAATGACAATCAAGCTTTCAATTGCTCTATTTTTCGCTTGCTTGTAATCACACAAGGTTAGAATTAGACAATGCTTTAAAAAGAGYTTTAAATGACTCAGCTTAGTATGAAATCAAATGTTTTTCATATATCAAGCTGGCTTGACTTATAAGGATTAATYTAAAACRGCTTTKTACGCGTCTAGGTTGGGTATGTTCGTGAAMTRARCTTGGTCAGCGGTCATATCCATAAGATACGGACACTGAGCATGCGTCCTGCGTTATTTGGTAAGTGACAGTCCTCATAGATAATAATTTGCATTTCCATTGTTTTCTTTTGTTTCACGGATTTAAGCCGTCACTCAATCTACATCAATTTCATACTATACACAGTAGATGTTCTTGCATTTCAGATGTGTCCGGGGGGGGGGGAGATAAATACAAAAAGATGTATCCAGGGGGGAAGTAAATACAAAATTCTTACTAGCCACTAGCAATCTATTGCTTACTTAACACCGACGATTAATGCACTAGACTAATTAACTAAGTTTTAACGAATCTTCGKACTGCGATCAGCGGCCATATTTAGCACCCTTACCCATCTGAATCAGACCCTGTATTTACAGCTCAAACCATGTACCTTRAATTCACACTCACCAAATTTTCAATCATCAGAAATCGAAAATTTCCTCAGCGAAGAAGAATGCGAGGACATCATCTTCATGGCGAAGACACAAGGTTTAGAGAGTAGTCAGACAATTATGAGTACACATTCTAACTTGAATGACACCATCCTCAAGGATTTGCTTGAAAGACCTAAGGAAACATTTAACAATGTAGATGTAAATGAAGACGGCGTAATTGATAAATTAGAGGTAAAAACTCAACCTAAAATGAAGAAAGATTTTGAAATTTAGTAAATTCTCACACATGATTTCGGTCCGTTATCAACGGTGACGGAAAAAAAACACCCAATTTGTTTTCCTGGAAAAAGTACTCATGTCATGTTATTTTATCGTACTAGCTCGCTGCTGGATTGACACTTTTTAGTGATATCTTAATCACAGATGAAATCGTGGAAAAGCTGTAAGTCAGGTATTTACTGTGAGATTAACTCTGCCTGATAATAACAGTCATTTTATGACTTCAGATTGGACAAGTTTGATGTAGACACAGACAAAAATAGTAAGTTAAATATGATAAATACATGAATAATATAAATACGTAATGTACGTAAAAATGCACAGATTAAACATATTCGATAAAATAGAAAAGAATACAAATAAAATCCAAACAAGAAAAGCAGACGCAGTAATTAATCACGATGCAAGTGGACGCTAAGAAGTGAGCTGGCAAACAATTACAACCCAGTTAATAATATTAGACGATTTTAAGAAAATGTCAGCCCCTTTTGTCAAGAAATCGAGGAACTATAAAGTGCTTAATTCATGGTGTTTTCTCTAGACGTGATATCTCTGGAGGAATTCACGTCCATGATCAAGCCACACAACCTCGAGATGATGATTAACTACACAAACAGCATGAAAGCAGACAAACCAAAGCTGAGAATACGAGTCAGTAACACAGCTTTYCTTAGTCCCTTAGAACATGTTGGAAATAAGAAACTGTTTGAGAGCATCAGGGAAAGGTATGAAATACACCGAGTTTAGTTGGTAAGAATGATACGTCTTCAAGATATAASTGGKGCAGTTATTATTAAAACTCGCCGATTTTGGTGAATAGCCTATTGCCAAAACAKGGAACTTGATCAGTTAAGCACGAGTCTAACACCAGGAATGTTTTCTTTCAGAATTCAACTTGTCACTGGTTTGCCTAAAGATGTGATATGGTCAAGTGAGGATTTACAGGTAAACATCATACAATGCAGAGGATTAACGGAATATAATAAAAGAAATAGGAAATGGTGGAGAAAAGCACCATGAGCCTCCAGTCYTACTGTATCTCATTCTTACAGTTATTGTTTTTCAGACAGATTTTCAGACAAAGTGGTTATATCATAATCAACGTTATATCATCTAGATTATGCTATGTTAGTCAATGATAAACTATTTTCTTCAGGTGTTAAGATATGATGAAGATGGTCACTACCACTGCCATTACGACTCGGAGGAAGACGACTTTCCTACAAACATAACCTGCTGTCATTACCTAACGCATGACTCTGAAGAAAAATGCTTTCCATGCAGGTAAATTAACATTTCAACAATGCGTTATCATTTTCCCAGACCTTGAAGGCCAAAAAGGTGGTTACACTGATCGTTTCCTTTGGTTTAAACGCTAATTTTCCTTTGGTTTAAACGCTAATTTTCCTTTGGTTTAAACACTAATTTTCCTTTGGTTTAAACGCTAATTTTCCTTTGGTTTAAACGTTAATTTTCCTTTGGTTTAAACGCTAATTTTCCTTGGATAGGTAACTAGTGGATAGGTAACTAGTGGATAGGTAACTAGTGGACAGGTAACTAGAGACGTCCTTTTCATATATGTTCACTAACATCAGTGAGGCGTTAAAATAAACTTTATACCTCAGGTTCATAACGTTCTTTTACTACTTAAACGAACCAGAGGAAGGCGGGGAAACAGCTTTTCCTATTGCAGACAACGACAGCACTGCCATTGAGGTGAGAACTACACAAACATAATCACAAGTCTACAAGTATAGAAAACTTTGTGCTGTCACTGAAATGCTTGTAATGTAGATGTTTGTAGATGTTTGAGTCATTGCATTGAGTTGTCAGTGATGTTAAATCACGTTACAGAACTCTTGTGATGCATGGAACATTAGGACTTTTCTGCGATATGGCTCACTGAGTGTAGATGTAGTAAATTGTTTCTAATCTRCAATCTGTGTTGTGCTATTAGTACTAAAACCATTAGTTCAGGATAAATGCTATTATATGCAGGCTGATGTTTGGACAATGCATATCACCCGAGGTGAATGTTGAGTGTTTGAGTCTTCAAATTGAAAATCAAGCCTTGTTTTTGTTATTTCCAGTCAATACGAGGGGAGAAGCATTACTTATGTGATCTTAGTAACTACTGYCACAAAGCTAAGATTGCATACAAACCTAGACGTGGTACTGCTCTATTCTGGTACAACCACCAACTAAATGAGAAAACAGGATGGGTTGGACCACTTGATAAAATGAGCTATCACGGCGGATGTGATGTTATCAAGGGGACAAAGTGGGCAGCTAAYAATTGGATCAATGCCGGCAAGAGTAGAGAAAATGACAAGAAATCATGGGCTGAGTACAAGCAATATTTTGAAGACTTTGATAAACCAATTGATGAAAGAACACAATCCGGTGAACGACAAGGAAAAGGAAATGAAAATGAACAAATGAAAAATGAAAAACTTGTTAAAGAATTGAACGACAAGAAAATGAAGGAAAACGAATAGAGAAAAAAACAAATAGAAATACGAACATGAATGAAATCAGAAAACAAATAGCCGACTTGCGAATTACGCATCAATAGTCACATACAAAGGAATCAAGACGAGGCGCCGTGCTTTTTTGTGAAAAATCTATTGTCTTTAGCATGGCTCCTCGTCTTGATTCCTTTGTATGTGACTATTGATGCGTAATTCGCAAGTCGGCTATTATACTCCAGATCAAGAAATATTTTCATGATTTGATAGAAACAGTTCAAATTCACACAATTCAAATTCTTTTTTTAGAATTGCAAAAATGAAGAACATAGTGAGTAAAGAAAATATAAGTAATGTATAATATCATATCAATATATCTTTATACAATTTGGTGTAAAATTAATAGATTTTTTGTATCTTGTAGAAATACAAACTAATTCAAATAAATCCTAAATTTTATTAGAAAGAAAAATGTTTTTTTTKTCTATATTTCATGCTTGACACAAATAATCCTGATGTCTGTGGTGGGATCCCTGTGCCCGATCTTACATGAGGTAGGTCATACACTGGTCAGGGGCCTTTTAGTGAACAAACAATGTCAAGATGGACAACCAAAATTTACAAAATATAGTTAATCTAGACGTCTATCCTATTCATCAACAACATTCAACAACATTTACAACCCTAGTTAAACGTCTACATGACGAGTTAGACAAGAATGGCATCGTTTTACTGCCCAATTTCATGACACAAAGAGCCATTCAAGAAACTTTGAAAGACATCGAGAATTCTACGTTTTCACCTTACCGAAGAGAAGTCTCACATAACGTATATCTTGAAGATATCTCACAAGATGGCAACAAACACAATGACCATCCAAACAAATCCTGTGTTCGCTCGTGCAAAACATGCTTTACTCACGACCAAATTCATCCGACGACGCCATTGAACACTCTATTCATGGATGATGATATGACAAACTTTATTTGCCATGTTCTTGGGAAAGAGAAGCTNTAATTCACAATACTTTATTTACAACTTGAAATAAGAAAAAAAGATTTGAAAGTCTCGAATTAAACCAGTACTTTCACAACTCATTCAGAACCATCGCTAACACTACTTGAAAATGCTGCCTTCAAATCCTGAAAAAGACAAATTATAAATTCAGATCAAATATGGATCGTGATTTGCTATGTTTCGTCGCGTTTCGTTTATTTTGTTGTTTTGTATTTGTTTATTAGGCAGTTGTTTAGTGTGTCCATGAACTATAAGTACCTACCACAGTTTTGTACAACTGACACATCTGCATAAAATCTTGTATTATTGGATGTCGGTAGAGAACGTGGAAAGGTAAAGCTTCATCTTCATCTGCACCCAACTCTACAAATATTGCTGACAAGCGTTCCTATGGAAACAAATCAAAAACTACAACCAAAACAGCAAGTATGAAACAACAAAAAGTCAAGCTTTAGATTTGAGAACGAAGACGAGGACGAGGACGAAGTTTCGAAAATTCGMCGTTACAGATTACGACAGCTCATGAAATGTCACGCAACTTCGTTGTCTCCTTGCTGAGGACGACGAAGTTTTTACCAAACTTCGTTCTGTCCAAAACAAAGTTTTTATCAGCTTTTCTTAGACTTATTTTGCACTGAAAATCTGAAGAAAATGCACGAACATCGACTTTGGTCATCCCTTGTTTTACTTTGAGCAATAAATGTGCGGAAATATCCTTAATTTGTGCTAAGATTGGCATAAACTAAACCATGTCAAATTAGTTTTTCAGAGCGAATTAGGAATTTCTTTTGAATATGCGCGAGCAAGCTGACSACATCAAAGTTGTGCGCGCTCACCAACTTCGTCCTCGTCCTCGTCTTCGTTCTCGAATCTAAAGCTCCCTAATAAAAAGTATCAGACTGCATGCGTTCACGGTAAAACTAGGATTCTTACCCGTGAGAAAGAGTCGACGAGATCTGATGTAAAGCTAAGTCTATGTGTATCGCCGATCTTGTTCTGAGAGTGTTGCAATGCCTGTAAATACATACACAACAATCAGCTATCATGACGAGATGTAAAATTAGAAATTGAAACAGGAAAAAACTGGAAGAAAAACTATCTTCGTATTGTATTTACCGTGACTAAGTCATCTAGACGAACCAATGTATTCATCTCTATGGAAGGGCTACTGGGCTGCTTAACAAGATATTGAATACCTGGTCATATAATATTATTCCCTATTGATGTAGACAGCCGACTGCGAATTTCACTCCAGTTGTCAAACAAAAACTATTGTCTTTTCACGAATGACTTAGCTTTATGCAAGGCGCCTCATTCCTTTGTGTGACTACTGAGGCAAAATTTGCAGGTCGGCTATTATCTTGTCAGGATTAACCAGTGAATCATTTTCATTAAATCATTACAAGAATATGGACATAATTATCATCAATGTCACTATTAGAACATTATATCATTATCATTAAGCCGCGGCTACAAGAGCGATCAAAATCACCAGCGCAAGATGTGGCTACAGGAGCGACAATGCTGTTTTGATAAAAAATACTCACAAATACTTATTTGAATCTCCATAAAGAGGTATATGTACAAAAAAAGCTCAAATTCGATGTTCAGCTTTCCCCGTACCCGAAAAWCGCGTCGCCTGCGCAAGCGAAAAATTGTTCGTATAGCCGCGGCTTAAGTCATCATTATCATAGATGATTATTGGTACTGTTATCAATCCATTAACCTCTATTACCTGGGCGTCACCTCCTTCAACTTGTGAGAAGTAAGACAAGTCGCTAACTGATGGCATGGCCTGACCTGCAGCAATACTCAAAGCCCGCAGAAAACCTTCCAACGGATCAGAATCCACCGCAAAATACATTAACTGAAAGTACATGATCAGAACTTTACCAGAATGATTACAGACTTTTCTCTCTTCAATAATGAATGAAACATAAAGCAAACCACGGTGTTCACGACGCACACACAACTTCTCCACGATAACTACATGTACTGTAACTCACAACTTACCATAAAATTGTAGTCCAAAAGTGGTGCTTCTGAACTTTGGTAGGCAAAGATATGAAAAAATGCCTGAAAATGCAACCAAATGAAACCATCCAATCAAACAAGARCAACATCATGGTTTGTAATTAAACAAGTGCGGGATGGACACTTGTATCGAATGCTATGAGCCAAAGCAAGTATCTACACACTGTGACCGCCGCATGATAACGTACCTCTTTAAGATTAGCGAGTCTTTCAAAAGCAGACGCCACTTCAATATCGTTAGCTAAGTCAATGTTGGGTGGGAGTCTTGAGAACCACATATCAACCTTTGAATTACAGAAAACCATATGAAATCAAATGAAATAGAGAAAAGAAATAGAAGAACAAAAGAAAGGCATAGCTCAAAAACTAGCACACGGCATCATGTCTACAAACAAACAAACTTGGTGTCAGACAGAATATAGTTTTACTTAATCCCCTCCTTAATCGTTCTTGTTACCGTTATATAAAGTTACATACCTCGGCATACTGTGCTTGGTCTACTAGACCCAGTCCTCCTTGGTCGACGTGGCGAAACTGTTCTTGTGTTAACAATAAGTCCGCTTTAGAGGCTGATGTCCAGGGCTGCGCGGCTGCTAAAAGGAACTTGCGCCAGTCGATGAATTCTGAGTCTGACAACAGGTTACAAACATCTTGAAGCTGAAAAACAATAGATGCATATTGAGGATTATAATTTTGGTTGCAGACTGTAGAAGGTCAGTGTCTTGATTATGGTAATTAGTATTAATAATAATTAATATTAATAATATCTTTATTCTGGTCTACCTGTTGTTGAGTGATGTTCATCCAAATATCTGGAAGGGACTCAGTACCAAACTAAACAAGACAAGTGAAATCAAACGACAAGCTCAGCAACAAACCACTAAAYAACCACTAAAGTTATGTGCAAAGTTATATACAGTATAGCTGTTTATTGCTCTAATCATTAGTCTATAGTGATGCATACTACATCCATGGTATAGCTGGTTATTTGCCCTTATCATTGTAGGGATTCATACCGTTAGATTTGCCATATCCAACACCACGTCACAGAAACCACGATTGGAAATCATTCCAGAAGGCGCTGCTTCGATGAACTATAAACAACAATGCGAGGGATAGTCATAAAACACGTGACACATGATAAAAATAATGATAAAAAAGGGTGTAGGGTGTGGTTAGCAGTGCTTACTTGATTACACAAGTTGAGGATTTGGACGACAGTGAAACTGTCTGTGGTAGGCAGCTCTATTTCCTCAGGGGGTGGTGCTGGGGTTGGAGTTTTGAATGTCTTGATGTCCTATAGAATAAAAAGATAAAAATAAATAATGACGATACCAAGATTTCTTTTCGTTTCGATTTCATTTGATTTCGCTTCGTTTTGGTTTCACAGTAATAACGATTAACATCTCAATCAACTTACCAAATCAACGATGAAGTCTTTATCTTCCAAAACAACTTCTTCCTGTAATCTCTGTTCTTGTTCGATGGCAAACCGAGTACTGGCTGCCATGGATTGTATACTATAATAGAAAGAATGATGAAAATTAAAAAAAGTCTTCAGTTGTCCTTACTCGACCATTCATTCAATTCATGGGAGCAAAAATTGTTTTACTCATTGATCAAATCATCCCATTAGTTCATAGTAACACCTACCTATCAACCTCTTGTAAGAATCGTTCACCAAGCCAGTCCTCCATGTCTTTGTACATCACCTCAGACTTGACCTACCAAAACCAACCATTAGATTATATACACAGAAAATATGACATGCTATCAAAAACATACCTTTAAATCTTGTAGAACTGCTGAAGCATGTAGTCTTATTATCTCAAGTCTGGATTTGAGGCCATTGTCTGCAATGAAAACAGATCGTTGAGGTATTTGTTTGTCTACTAGTAGTATTCATTCGCTAGATCAAACGTTCGATGATAAAATCATTTTATTAAGTGCCTTCGATCGAATGTTCTTTGGACTACAATATTGCGTATACCTTCGATCAAACATTCTTTGGCAAACAACATCATTATACAACATCGATCGAACGTTCTATAAACGATCGTACTACATATACCTTCAAAGGCGACACTACCCAGGAACTCTTCACGAGACTTTTCTCGTATTTGTTGCTTTAGCTTCTCTTCCTCTGACTGACCCTCAGTCTCCTCTGGAGGCGCTGTACATGATAGTAAATGTTAGTAATTGGCTCTCAGTCTCCTCTGGAGGCGCTGTACATGATAGTAAATGTTAGTAATTGGCTCTCAGTCTCCTCTGGAGGCGCTGTACATGATAGTAAATGTTAGTAATTGGCNATCAAACGTTCGATGATAAAATCATTTTATTAAGTGCCTTCGATCGAATGTTCTTTGGACTACAATATTGCGTATACCTTCGATCAAACATTCTTTGGCAAACAACATCATTATACAACATCGATCGAACGTTCTATAAACGATCGTACTACATATACCTTCAAAGGCGACACTACCCAGGAACTCTTCACGAGACTTTTCTCGTATTTGTTGCTTTAGCTTCTCTTCCTCTGACTGACCCTCAGTCTCCTCTGGAGGCGCTGTACATGATAGTGAATGTTAGCAATTGACTGTCATTACTATCAATTAGAATTATTATCAATCTAATCATACTTTCGTGATTAGCCTTAACTTTAACTTTACCATCATACTAAAACACGAGATGCGCATTTCGATTTCTTTTCATTTCGTTTTATTTTCTCTCTATTTCGTATTGTTTCGCAGTGTCCCGAAGTTCGTTGTATATTTATGCTGTCCGGCCCAAAATACCTAATCATGCGCGCGCCTGTGATATCTGTGAAAGCGAGAAACCGTTCATTGATAGTGATGGAGGACTATTACCAGGCGGTGGTGTCTCTGTCTTGGATGGAGACTTGGCAGGTGATTTACGTCCTTTCTTGTCTTTCTTTTCCTTGGCTTTCTTCTGCATGGCTTCTTTCTCTTTTTCTCTTTCTAATTCAGCTTGTCKTTGAGCTTCGGCTTCTTGATCGGCCTGATCCATTGACGCCTGCATCGAAATAAAAGAAAATACAATATATGGAAGCATAAAAAGTCCCATACAAGACCTAYTSACTGTGGAATMCCCAGAATTACACAAACCCTCTTCAATGGCTTGCTTGTAAAATAGGAATCAGTTGTAAGACTGAATAAAGTTATCTATTTGTATAGATTTGTTAGAAAAAACGGATCTATCACGTGTGTGTCGCTATTCATCCTTCGTACAGCCGAACCCGACTAGTAACTTGACCTCCAGACACACTTATACAAGACTTTGACTAATTATTGTTACATTGTTCACTATTAGATTGGAATAGTTTTAATAATTTTCTTGATACTAACCATTGTGTCAATGATAGTCAACGCGAGCATGTAAGCATCAAAGATGAGCTGAAAAACATTATAAATATTGATATTACCATACTGCTGTTGAAAATGTTGAATATGTTGTTAAAGTAACCGAATGGAAAGTGGCATGAATTGTAGTCATTGCAGTAAATAAAGTGCAATATTCAACACAGGCAGCCCAACATCCCATATCAAGCCAGCAAAGTCTGCTGGCCCTAGTAAAGATCAGCTTCAATGCAATTCTACAGCTCATATACCTTTTCATCGGGGTCTGATGGAGGTACTGGTGTTTCAGGTTTATCCTGGTCTGTCTGTCCTTTTTTCTGCGCAACCTTTTTATCTTTTCCACGACCAGGTCCTGCATCACCTGACTTGGGGCGACGTGGTACCAACGGGATTCTATACATGAAATATTAGACGTTTAACGAGTCATCACTTCATAGTCTCTATAGTATCACTGTCCATATTAGTCGATTCACTTGATTGCTTATTATTCATTTATTTGATCGGTTTTACGTAGTCGACCGATCGGTTTATGGAATGTCTGTAAATGTTAAGCTAATGTTATCACTTCATAGGAGTCTCTATAGTATCTCTGTTCATATTAGTCGATTCATTTGATTGCTTATTTATTCATTTATTTGATCGGTTTTACGTAGTCGACCGATCGGTTTATGGAGTGTCGGTAATGTTAAGCTAATGTTATATGCTGGCAGGTCAAGCTCAATAAACTGACTGACCTTGTTTTCTGATCATCTTCTCCCTCGCCAGGTTCTGGTGTTTTGGGTGTGCCTTTCTTACCAGAAGGACTTTTAGGTTCAGGTACTGTAGTCGGGTTTACAGCTGTATCACTTGCTCTTGACGATGCCGACTGTGGTCTTAGTGTAGGTGGTAGTTCAACCAATGGTAGCCTTGTGTATTCATTGATGCTTTCGCCTGGAACTTTACCATTGGGGACTAACAAAGGGATGATTGATTGATAAATTAATTAATTGATTGATTGATGACTGAAAGAATGATTGATTGATTAATTAAATGATTGATTGATTATTGATTGATTGATCAATTGATTGATTGAAAGAATGATTGATTGATTGATTGAAAGAATGATTGATTGATTTATTAATTGATTGATTGATTGAAAGAATGATTGATTGATTGATTGATTGATTGATTATTGATTGATTGATTGATTGATTGACTGAAAGAATGATTTATTTATTAATTAATTGATTGATTGATTGACTGATTAATTGATTGATTCATTGATTGATTGGTTGATTGATTGAAAGAATGATTGATTGGATATATGGATTGATTCTTGACTAGTGATTGCTCAACTGATTGATAGTATATCTACCTTCCATGCCGACATAGTAATCTTTTAGTAGTCGTATAGTATCCTGATAGCGGTCTACTTCAGATTGCATCAGACTGATATAATGATTGGTTAACACACCCATCCTGTCTTCTAGCCAACCTTCGCTCATTATACCTTGACGTTCTTTTTCTGCCATCTCTTTGCGGTTATCACAAATCTCATAAAGACGATCACATAAATCCTATAAAATAGATACAAATAATATTAGCTGTACATCACAATAGCGATAGAGTGTCCAAGGTTATATATCAAAGACAGACATATCAAAACACTTAAAGCAATCACAATTCAATATGGTTTAATAATGACATCGATGATGATAACGATGACAATGATGGAAGATTATTTCTCTAATCTCATCACTCCTTTTGAAAATGTCTTTGAAAATAATCCATTATGAATGATTTTAGGATTAGGGTTGGATTAGGGTTGGATTAGGGGTCCAAAATTAAATGCAGTAGTGATGATGTGGAAATTTGAATGGAAAGTCTGATGGCAACTAATTTCAGTCCATCAWGGATTTTCGGATTAGGGACGGATTAGAAWRTGTATAGGATTTGGATATGTGTATGAAGGGCTAAAAACTCACATCAACACGTTGATGCATTTCAGCTTTTGTATCTTCATCACCTCGCATGTCTTCWGCAACATCATTGTACTCCTAGACCAAGAAAACAGAAATGTTGCAAGCTAAATTAGTCATTCAACCCTTAAGATTAAGGACGATTAAATAAAAAAGCTAATTACACTTTTTGTTATAGTATACATACCTTTTGCCACTGTAGAACATATTCTTGCTTTTCATCAGGTCTCTTCAAAAACTCAACGAAGTCTTTCCTAAATAAAAAGAAAATACAAACAATGAAACAAATAACTTGTCGAAAGAATCCGCCTCGYAAAATTCATTTTACTAAGCGTAGCTTTGCAACAATGGCGTCCATCATATCAAGCGCACATGAAATGAAACAATCGCGCACAGTAACAATAGTAACTATGGTAACAAACTGAAAAACACGTATCGCGCGTGAGCCCACACTACAACTATAATAACCATGGCAACAATCTACGACTACACGCACTCAGCGCGCGCACACATAAATACTACGAAAACTAAAAAAATCTGAATAAAACCGACGTCCTGAAAGCAAATAACGCTACAAATTACCATGATTCTATCCCATCTTAACGTTTTTATAAACATAAGACAAGATATTTGTWACTGCCTCTCACCTTGAACCATAGAAGTATCGGTAAATGAGTTCTCTCTCGTGGCGAATTTTACGGAATGTAGTTTTACACGTATCGACGTATATATCTTCCACGTTTTCCCATTGTTTAGACAACACATCAGCCAGTTCCTAAACACAATATAGCGCATGAGTTTCTTGTTACACTGGGCCGGGTTGTTCAAAGCCCGATTAGCACTAATCCTTGGTTAACTCTTAGAAAACCTATGGAGTTAACCCTGGMTTAACGCTAATCGGGCTTTGAACAACCCGGCCCTCGAGTGTGGTCATTCAAGTAGAGATGATTTACAAGGTGCATGGAAAATGCTTTAAAAATGGACTATCATTGATACCTTTTCAAGAGGCTGATCCACGTAGTCCCATTCTTCTGATCCTGGTAAAGGTTTAGGAGGTCCTTCAGGTTCAGGGGGCTTCTCTTCTTCCTCTTGTTGTTTTTCTATCGGAAAAAATCGCCACAATCAYATAATYRATTGASTATTGCTTAATTTTTTAGTGCAACTCATTTACTGTGCTCCCAGAAGGGTCTATTTGATGAACAATAACATACTGGGTGATCCTCGCTTTGATCCAGGTCGAGAACCTTTGGATCCAGGACGCGATCCTTTCTTTGTCGGTGAAGGAGACTTAGAACTAGGTCTCGAACCAGATCCCTTTTTAGATGTCGGAGAAGGCGAACGRCTTTTTGGAGATTTCTTGGAAGCTGTGGGGGAGGGGGAACGGTCTTTTTTGCTAGATTTCTTTCCTCCTTTKGGAGAACCTGGCTTAGAGCCGCTTTTTGCGCTCTTCGACTTTGAGGCTCCTTTCTCAGACTTGCTGTCAGACTTTAGTCCTGATTCTGAAGGAGCAACTGAAGCTGTGCCCTCTGTAGGAGCCACGCTTTTGCCTGGGAAGATCTCCATGCTAGGGGTTTGAGCTTCAACTCCTGCATCAGCTAATATAAAACATAAGCTAATCAATAAATAACTTAGGCTATGATTGCCCTTGCTAAATAGTTGTGAGATAGTTAATTACTAGTGTGGCTTGCATGCGAAACGATTACCAATGTCTATTGGCTTAGAAACTCCCACAACAAAAACTCCCATACATAAAGTAGTGACTTCCTTACCATCTGGCGCTGCAGACGGTGGTACTGATGCTGACTCCTAGAAATAAAGGAAAAGCGTTAAAACAGAATACAAACGATGAATAACATTGTACTAATACATACAGACGCTTGTTCCTCTGGTGGTGCGACTTGCTTTTGATAAGCTTCGTTGAGAAGTAATGCTGCTTCATCGTAAAGGTCGTCTGAAACATTGCAACAACAAAAAATACCTTAAGAAAAATATTACGTTCTCTTATATCTAAGCGGTCGCTTTGTCCAGGTAGGTCGCTTTAAAGGGGCTCTATCTGCATTACCGTGTGTTTTATCGGCGTCAATTTTCTTTAAAACACCAAACTTCGTGAACCATTTATCAAGTTTTGGCCAGGAATCCAGAAACCCTGTGATTCTTTGCTGGACTTGCTCTCGATCATTTGATGGATCAATCACAGGAGACACTTTCTCTTGTTTATTGATTCCTGTGTAGCTCCCCTCAGGGGGAGGGTTGTATTCTTGGTGATGCTGTTCATCTGTCAATGGGTTATCTTTGAATAGAAAAACAGATTATGCTGTGATGATAGTAATGACAATGATGACAATAACTGCACAGATAACCGCTGTTATTTTACAGCAAACTTCTTGTAAATGAAAACACGAGATAGCGAATGAGGGGAATATGTTGTCGTTTAAATAATCCTAATAAAATACAGTGTGATACTGGTAATACGATGATGATGGTGGTTGCTGTCATGATGATGATGATGACGATGATGATGATGATGATGATGATGATGATGATGATGATGATAATGATGATGGTGGTTGCTGTCATGATGATGATGATGATGATGATGATGATGATGATGATGATGATGATAATGATAATGATGATGATGATAATGATGATGATAATGATGATGGTGATGATGATGATGATGATGATAATGATGATGATGGTGGTGGTTGCTGTCATGATGGTGATGATGATGATAATGATGATGATGATGATGATAATGATGATGAAAAGAGCACCATACTTACATGTTCTTCCTTCGGCTCTCTTTAGCGCAACTTCATCTGGAAGGTCAAATAAGATCACCAGGTCTATCCCACTTTTAGGTGAGGCTTGCTGCAGAAACACACAGAGTAACATCTTAAAATGGTTATTTCTACGAAAACTTGTCATAATGGCATACTCACTTCAGCAGCAGGGTGAGGATCTGGGGCGAGTCTAGACTTCTTTGTCTTTCCAACCTTCCCAGGTTCCTTTGCAGCCTTAGCGTCTTTGATTTGCTTCTGTTCGTCATATCCGGTCAAAGATTTCTCAAGTAACTAGGTTAAATGATAAATATATGTAAAAAATAAAACTGCTACATGGAAGTCATTTTACCAAGATAGAGTTAAACTTTTTTCTTTGACGTACATTAAAGTAGAAATATCATTGTATTGAGAGTTGTTTTTTTCAGCGCAGTTGATATTATTGTTAAGAAGTATAGTGCAATCAATATTACCTTTGCTTGGCTTACTGAAGCTGGAAAACCATCCATTAGCCATCCAGTGCCCTCTGGGACATTTCTAGATAAAAATTCAAATTTTCAAAACCAGATTTTCCAAAAGTTTACTAAGAACGTGTCATGGTAATCATCGTAAACATTATCATCATCATGACCGCGACTAGACATGTACCACCATAGCTGATCATTAAACTAAAGATATAACATTTACCTCACGGCTTCCACCATGATATCCACTATCAGCTGATCAGGTGTGGCTTTGCCTTTTTTGAGGAATCCATATGCCTTAGAACCTAGCTTTGCRCGAACTGTTGGCTATAGAAATATACACAGCATTAGTATTAGCTAGTAATATCGCCCATAGCGGTAATCAAAGATTATAACAAATTGCTACTGTTAAGTGTTGGGCGTGAATGGGCTGCCTGTGCACTACCTACATGTAGTCCATAAAGTCGTTAACAAAGCACTTTAGGCAGTCCATCCTAGATACTGTGAAATAGTATTCAACTTACCGTGGGTCCTTTAGGTCCTTTAGAAGACTTAACAGGTTCGACTTTATCTTTCTCTGAGGAAGGAGTTTTGGAAACCTCAACATCTTTTTCTTTTTCAAGTTCGTCTTTGGTTTTGTCACGTTTTTCATCTTGTTGTTCGTCTTGTTGTGAACCACGTCTGTTAGAGTCTTGCACATCTAAAACGCAGTTATATTATACTTATAAACCCTCATTAATTAATAATCATAATTACATTCAATCAATCAATCAACCGACCAATCAATAAATCAATAAATCTATAATCAATCACTCATACCTTTCAACGCTTCAGTACTAGCAGCACGTGACCCAGCTGATACACCTCGTGATACATCTACAGTAGACGGTTCCTGGTCAGTCTTTGGTCCTTCCTGGTCAGAAACACTAGGTCTCTTGGACGATTGATCCTAAAAGTTAAAACAACCCAATAAAAAAGTCAAGTCAATTAAGTCTTTTCCAGTAAAATATGAATAAATGTTTACTGGAATTTCTTGTGTTGCTTCTTCAGGTTCTTGGATCACTTCTCCATTCTTATGAGCCTCAATAGCCTCCGCCACTAGATGATCCATCGATAACCGAACCAATCGATGATCTATAAACATATAAAACAAACTCATTTATTTACCATTCGCCATGTGTTCGTTCGC